TCTCTCATTCCAGGTCTTCCAGAGTTTCCGCTGGGCATTCCCATGCCGCCGCACGGCCTGCCCGGGCATCCGGGTGGCCTGCCCGCCGAATTCTGGCCCCCGCACTTTGCCCTGCACCAGCACTTCAACCCGGCCGTCGGCCTCCTGCCCCAGCACCTCATGGCACCCCACTACAAACTGCCCAATTTCCACACCCTGCTCTCCCAGTACATGGGCTTGAGCAATCTGAACGGAATCTTTGGTGCCGGTGCGGCGGCTGCAGCAGCGGCGGCGGCTAACGGATCGGCAGCAGCCGCTGCCGCGGCTGCCGGCTACCCCCAGAACCTATCGATGCACGCGGGCCTGTCCACGGCCCAGGTGAGTCCGCCCTGCAGCAACAGCAGTCCGCGGGAGAGCCCCAAACCACTCGTGCCTCATCCCCACGCCATGTCACCCTCCGGTGGGGGCACCACCCTCATCTCGGGCGGCCTGATGCTCACATCGACGGCAGCCCAGTCGCCCTGCAGTGCAGGTGGAGCGAGCAGCAACTCCTCGACCCCCGTGTCCGTGGTGACCAAGGGCGAGGACTAACTTCGCGGTGATAACCATGTACATACAAACCACACATCACACATAAACACACGTCATTGGCAGGGACATGCCACACTGTAAGATATCTAAGAGCGTTGCCTATTGCCAAATTTAACTTAGTCCTAACACGTACACGTATTGCCTATCTGTAAGAGATCCATAACTATAATTAGCCCCAAGCAAGTGTCATACGATTAGCAATAAAGCCGAAATCAAGAAAATAATCTGATGAAAACAAAAATAAACAAAATGAAAAGAAATCCTGGTGAATTTTAATGGGTAAATCGGTTGGTGGTGTGGCCCTTTCGAAGGAAGGTTTTTGGAAAGATACAAATTCAGACTGGCAGACTGACCGAAGCTAAGGCTAAAGACTCTGCTGTCTATTTGGATTTGGAGCCTCTTCACAGACAATGTTGAAGTACCGATCTGCAAATGTAAGCTTGTTGACGACAGGGCAGCCAGCTAGAGAGTAGTAAGTATTAAAGAGTACTTCCAAATACCGTATTTCGTTACGGTTCTGCCTTGGTCATACTACTACTACCTACTTACTACCCATAAATTTTAGCTGCCTGGTAGTCTACTCCTGGAAAAGAACCATAAACAAAGTTAATCTCTTCGTCTGTTTCCGTTCACTTAAGAAATGTCTTCATTTTCTGCAGCATCCCATTTTGCTCCACTACAAAATAATCTGCAAAAGTTTCTACCTTGAGCAGGGATTATGACCCTGCGGGGTCTCGCTATAAATTGGCCAAATGTTTGTTACAATTGACGCGACCTTTCCTTTGCTCGAGTCAAATGAAAATGATCTTCGGCAGAGACCAACCCCCAGAGGCAGAGGCTGTTGAATGGATGCCCAAAGAGAGTTCAAGTCGTATAATAATCTCGATATTAGTCAGGGGCAAAGGAAATGTTGCATTGCATGTGAAGAGACGTCAAAGAAGTCGTCCAGCTGGAGCACAATGGGAGAGAAGGAATCTCGTATTGTGCCCGGACACGACGGCAGACAGCAGTGGGGGAAATGTCGGCAGAATGCAATTCTAAAGGATGTGTGAGCCAAAGGATTTGCACCGAACTCAAGTGGTGGTGGAAGAGAGACAGAGAGAGAGAAAGATAGAAAGAGAGAGCTAGATCGAGATTCTGAGGGAGAGCCCTTTTGTAGTGGGCCGCCTGCAGAGCTAAATGCTATATTGATATCTCGTAATTTGTGCCATAATTACTTTTTAATAATTTCGCACAGGGCTCTGGGCTCGCGGCAGGATGTCGCATTGTGTGTGCAATGGCCTCAAATTTAATAATAAAACGCCGTCAAGTTCCTGCTCAGCCAGCTCTGTCTGAATCGGGATAAAGCCGGCCGGGATTTGGGTTGGAATTTGATTACACTTACCACTTCGCCGTGTCCGACCGTGCCCGATCCTGTGCGGGGTCAGAGCTAAATTCCCTGCACAAATACAAATACACCGTAATAATGAACGAATTGCGCGACTTAACGGATTTGTCACAGTCAAAGGACTGGGCCGAGGGAGGAGTCACCGCCAGCGACTCAACCTTGCCACAGAGTCGGAGGCAGGGGCAGAGTCAGCATAAGCATCAGCACTGTCAAAAGAAGCTTTCATAAAACTCATATGCAATTGCCTTTTGTGGCTGTCCTTTGTGCGGAAGGTAGGACGCAAGACACCCGGCGGGTGGGATAACCTGCACTGCTTTATACTCTTTCTCGCCATGAAGAGTATAGGGAAACTACGACTGCGACAGCTAAGTGTAATGTGTATCCATTAGAAATGTATCTTCTTCATAGATCCATGGTATTCATCTTCTTCAAAATGTGACAAGAATAATGTTCGCATAGAGCATTTCGTGTGCCATGTTGTCCCGTTTGCATTTCATCTTGTTTCTATCAACGAAAATTCAATAAGTTGAAGTAGATCTTTTATTTGTGCAAGTGTTTGGCCAAGGAGGAGAGGGTTGGTTGGTTGGTTGGGGCCCCGAGCCAGTGGCTGGGGCTGGGGCTGGGTAGGAGGGGAGGTAAGCCGCCCATCCACAATTCGGGCCAAAATGTCCTTGTGTGTCCCGGGTGTGGCTGTGTGCTCATGGAATTTCACTCAGTGTGCAAATGCAGCGCGTCACTCTGCGGGCTATAAATATATGAAATTTATCAAGTGGCCTTTTGAGTTTCGTATTTGTGGCTCTGTGAAATTGAGAGACGAGTGCCTCCCCGTATTTCTCCCTTCTCAACGCAGTATTTGCACTCGGCTCAGTGGAATTTCACCTTGTCCTGTCCTGCCCTGTTCTGTCCTGCTCTGTCCAGTCCATGGGGTACATACCCGGAGTATACCCAACAAAATTGAGCTCAAATTTGATGAGCAAAATGCTCTCCAAAACGTCCAACACAATGGGTAACGAAAATCAATTTCGTCCTCGACACTCGAGCGCATTAAAATGGTAACAGTTACGCAAAACAAGAGAGCAAGTGGTCGGCAGGAAGCGGTTCGGTCGGGCGGGGGGTGGGTGTGGAGGAGCTCTTGAAAAACTGGCAACATTTTCGAAGTCTCAAACGAGACGTGAGCGCGGCCGTAATGAGCGGCCGTTGATGAACTTGCGCGCTGCTGAATACAACGGTAATTAAACAAGTTAAATCCGCTCAACAGACGCTCAGAAAAGACTTCTACTGGCAGAGGGCCCTTTGCCCGGCCTTGGTCTGTCGTCCTGCATCCAGACACGGCTCTGTTGACGTTGACAGTCGCATTTTCGTGTTCATTTCATTTGGCCACTGTCAACTGGCAGTTGTCGGCTGGAAGCGCTGCGTTCGTTAGTAGTACTTAAAAAATTATTTCGCATTTAATTCATTTCATCAAAAGTTTTCAGAGAAATAATTATGCAGATTGTCTGGCTTCTGTGGGTGGGATTGAATGGATGGATGGCTGAGAAGAGGACTGCTGTTCCCCTAATGAGCGCCATTTTGTGGCAGCAACAACAGAAAGCAAGAGAGAGAGTGAGAGAGACAGCGAATGGGGCAGCGAGGAGGATCAGTAATTGCAGTAATTTGTGACCACTTGAGAGGAATCACTCTGAGAGACTGAGTATCGGGTGTCCCTGAAGCCTGATCCCTGATCGCTGATCGTCTAAAAATAAATTGCCAACATACCGCAACATGCAATCGAAAACGAAAACATTTCCGACAGGATATCTATCGTAAGTAGGTTGGCGACAACCGGGAAACACGATACTTTTGTGTCGATTGCCGATCCAGCTCCTGCTAAGCATTTCAAAGCGAGCCGACACCCAATCCCCTCCAGCTGAGACTCCTCAACGGATCGCTCAAGGTGAGCCGAAGAAATGTACTTTCCTTTCCTTCCCATTTATGTCCTGCCTGCGTGCTGACTTCAATGAGGCTAAGCCGTGCCTTATTTATCGCTCGCTGATCGTTGGCCAAACAGCTGATCCCACTCTCAGTAGAGAGGACATCTCCGGGCTGGGCTGGGCTGTGATTAAAGAAAGAGCAGTGGCCCCGTGGTTTTTGTTTACCGATTTTAGCCATAATGGTTTCATGCCTGATTTGTCTTGATGCCTCGATGCCTGGCCCTTGGCCTTTGGCCAGTTCAGGTAGCACGCTCGGGCAGCTGCTCCTGTATAGCCAATTGTGTTCTCATTAGCCAATGGTCTGGCTGAATGTTTTGACATTTTTCTTTTATACATGTACGAGTGTTATGTACGAGTGTATGTACATATGTACAGCATACTCCATTTTCTTAACGGGCTACATAAGATAGTTCTCCAACAGATCTGCTAATTAAACAGATCCAATAACAGCAGACACTGTTCCAAAATAGTTATCCATCTGATATCACAATTGATACGTGCTTCTTAGCGGATGAGGCAATTTAATTTTCAATTTAATTCGAGCTCTGTTCAGCAATTTCCAAATGCCAGCGCCTATAGTCAACAGTATATAGCCACGAAAATGATCGATAGCTATATAATCGCATTTCAGGCTGTTAACCAAGCGCAGGGCCCTAACTACTATAATAATAAATTAGGGAAACAAACAAATATATCAAAATGAGCTCGAAGTGAAAAAAAAAACAGTGAAAAGAGAAATACTATTAAATTAAGTTAATCAAATGTATGCGCTGTGAATTTAAGCAGCTGCCGAGTTGGGCTCGGGTCTATTTGCATTTCCACCTTGCCGACACCCTCTCCACGACCACAGGCTCATAAATTATATTAATAAAAGGCCAATAGCAACAACAAAAGCCAGCGGGTGATGGCGGGAACGAGAAATCCATGTGTGTCATTGCTGTTAAACTTTGTTTGCATTTTGTTTATTAAACGACGCGGAAAACCAGCGACAGTCCGCAAGCGAGGTTGAGGTTCGGGGCTCGAGTTTCGTGCTGGAAACTACCGGGTCACACCTGACTGAGAATGTTCTACCCTTTTTGCTTGGGACATGGTTTACTTTAGTTGTACGAGTATTTGATTTTAATTAAATTTCCGCAACTTTGTCACAATTTGTTTGTGTGTTTCAGAGCCCGAACCCTTCAGTTCTTCAGTTCTTCGCGTGTGGATCTGTTCGAATGCTTTGTTTGCTTTGCTCGAGGACTGTGGATGGGAATGTGGAAAGTTGTCCCATTAATTGCCAGCCAAACACCTTGGAGCAGGTGTCGCTGATTATGGGCGGGAGAGTTGTGTTGTGACGTATGTGGCCCACGGAGCGGGAGCTCCTCTATACCCCCGAATCGTATCTATGGCTCAAGCGCCAACGTTCGGTCAGGGCCATCTCGTCCTCCGCTTCTCGAATCTGCCCCAGGTTCTGTAGCACTTGCGACGGGTGTGCCAGATGGGTTCGCTCTGAAAACAGCCAGATATAGGAGGATGGGTGCAAAACATATCTTTATAGAAGGACTTACCCAACTCGTCGGCAATTTCCACAATTGTTGCCAGTGGTCGGCCATTCTCATCTACAACGTTTGGCATCCTGGGAAAATTTTGGTCTATTTTTTTTGTGTACTTGTTTGTGTACTTTTTCCGAATGAATTGAAAAGTGTCTTTTTGTTAAGGGCACGGACATGTGATCTGTCAAGGCCTGCCTAGGATTCGATTTCGATTTTCGATACTCTGATGTGGCGACTGCCGCCATCTCCGTCTGTTCATTGTGTGTGTCAATTATTACGCCTGATTTAATAAGCTCAATGGGTCTCTTAACTGCTCTAAGTGGCTGCTAATCGTTTCGGTGACGAAGAAAAGTGAAAAGGAAAATGGGAAAATGGAAATAAAATTGTTGTGCGCGTTGCGCCTGTGCCAGGGAAAGCACATCAAACGAAATTGATGACAATTGAAGCTCTCCTTACCAACCAAGGATTCGTCTCCCTCATCTCCATCTCCATCTTTATCTCCATTTCCATCCTGCTGCTCTGGTACAGAAGACAGCAGATTCTGCCTCATTGACGCTAAACGGAACGGAAGCCGGAAACGCGCCGCAAATTGCAAAGTTTGAGCAGCACTTTTGCTCTCTCTGTCTCTCTTTCTTTCTCTATGGATGGCCTCCTCTCGCTGTGGAAATTAATTTTATTTTCGGTTTTTATGCCCTGGCGGGAAATTGAGAGCAATTTTCTTTGCACTTTTCCCATTTCCCCCATGATTATAATAAATGCGAATTTCCTCGGCCATTTCCTTGGCTTTTTTGATGACGATTTTGATTTGAAGGCGTGACCAGGCTGTGCCATGCCAGCCAGCCCTTTGTTTAATACCCTGTCCATGTCCATGAACTCATATTTCCATGAGCGGAGCCATTTTTTGTCGAGGATTTTGCTTTATTTTTTCTCGCTTTCTGCATGAGCAGCTTCAAGGACACGACTGAAAATTCAAGTGCACGGCACTTGAAATAGCAGAGAAATAACAGTGAAAGAAAGGTCCAGACAACGGACACCGGACGGAGCGGACAGCACAACAAAGGCAGTGTGAAACTGTCATTTGTGTGTGAGCGGAGAAAGAGAGTCTGTACGTACATATGTATAGTACCTTCTATAGGGTTAAATCAGGCGCATAATTATCATTGCCCTGGGCTCACGTGTGAGCGGACTTAGGCCCGGGACATGTGAAAAGGTGAAAGGTCGAGGGGATAAGCGATTGGGATGTGTGTTTGAGTGTGGGATTTTGACGGCAGATCAGAGCAGGCTGGAGTGTAATGGTTTGCAGTGGAGTGGAGTGGAGGGTACTGAACAGCTTATTCAAATTGCTAAAGACACGCATTATTTGTGCTAATTTGTGGGCAATTTCCTAATAGATACTCGTACTTTTCGCACATAATTCCAACACCATACAATTCGAAAGTGTTTTGGGCAAGCTGCTTAAACTATTCACAGACCCCAGCTAAAGATTCACAGATCTCACAGAACAGAGAACTGCCGCTAAAGACTTACTTAGAAGTACACTGCCAGTACTTTAAGTTCGTTCCAGTTCGAGTCCGTTTCCAAAGCAGCGGTTTCTGGGGCGAAGGGGAACTCGCAGGTCAGAGCAACCCCAGTCGTGGTAAGCCAACAGGGCATTTGATGGAACCAAGTCTATTAGAGTCAATTAGCGAGCGATTATAATGACTGGGCATCCCTCTGTGTCAGTCAGCCCTCCTCGGCACAGAGCGAAGCGAGAGCCCTGCTGCATCGTTTTAAAGTCATTGAAAAATTTGCACATAAATTGCGTAAAGTGCGGATTTTTTTTTTTTATATTGTGTTTTTTGTTCTGCCCTAACACGTTTACACAGGCTCGTCCTTGTCCTTGGTGATGCTGGTCCTGGTTCTGGTGCTGGTGCTGGTTTTGGTCGTGTATCCTGCCTGCACCCTTTAGCCTGTTCGCACACAAATGGCAATCACCCCCAATACACATATACAATGCCTGCCCCTGCCCCCTGTTCCGTGCCCGTACCACTCTGTATATATGTAACCGTGTGTGCGTGTCGCAGTTGGTTGAGTTTCCTCGGCTTTTTATTTGGTCAGCGAAAGCGCACACATTGTCAGCCCAATTTCACACAAAAAATGCAATCAAATGTGACGCTTTTCATTATTCTTGCGATTTATATTTTCAGCCAGTCAAGTGGGAGAGGGAAACGGCCCGGTCCGATCCGATCCGGTCCTGTGAGGGGAATGAGAATGTCAAAAATTGAAATCAATCAAATTAAATTGCCTTGTTCGATGGAGATTTTTACCCGGTTCAATTTGCCTTTGCAATTCGGATTAATTGGGATAAAACTAAAAAAGTATTTGCAGCACGAACCTCTATATATAAATGCGGTTATAAGAGATATTGAAACCGTCAAAGGGCAACTTTGAATCATAGTCTAAATGTTTAAAGAATAATAGTTAAAATATCAAGAGTATTTCCAGGTGCCTTAGGAGATATACGAAAGATTCTTCCTTATTTTAAAGCCTTCAAAGGCTGGGATATTAGTTTTAATAGAAACAGCCAAAGGAACACCGGGTAATGCAATGGGAAAACATATTCTAATCACATACCAATTCAAGAAAAATGAGATCCCAAGAAATCATTTGATGCCAAACAAACAATAAGTACGAGTATATATTCCTGAGCTTGAATTTAAGAAGAGTTTTTAAAATCTCAGAGCTTCGAACACGCTTTACGCTTGAGTGAACTCAAGTTTTGGGTTGTACGAGTATTTTTTGGTGGCATTGCCAGGCTTCATCGATAATAATTGAAGTGAAAACAATGTGTGTGCTCTGGGGTGTGTGTGCTCTGTCTCCATGCAGGCATGTCCGTGTGTGTATTTCTGCGAGTGAGTGTGTCGGTAAGCTCCTTGAAGAACTTGATGCCCTCATTGTTGGTTGGCAGTCGGAGCAGCAATACTAATTGACCATATGGGTCGTTTTGTGTGGCACTCTTGAAATCGTATATGTACAGTCGTTAGAGGTGGAGGTACTACGGTTATGTGCCAGATCGAGTCGATATTTGTGCACTTTATTATGAATTTTAAATCGAATTTGTATGGAAATTAAGAACTGAAAATTGCATTATGATGACGACGACGACATTGTGTGCGTGTTTATTTTTGTTTTTGTGCAAATTGATTAGTGGGCTAAGCCTTCTCCGGGGGTTGGTATCGCCAATCCCGCCCTGATTTGGTCCTGGTAGTGCTGTTCCTGGTTCTGGTCTTGGAACTCGTCTGAGCCGTGTTTGTTGTTGTTGTGCAGTGCCCTGTAAAGTGATTCGCTTGAGAAAGTGATTTGCGGTCGGGCAAGTCTGCGCTGCGCCCATTTTTGTCCATCTCATTAGCGTCATCTGCTGCTCTGCTGCTCTGCTGCTGGCCAAGTGCCAGGGATTCGCGCCCATTAATTACCCATTTGAACATAGATGCAACTGCAGAGCAGACGAACGCGAATACAAATTTCATTCATAATGCAGATCGAGTTCTAATTAAACGGCCCAACGCAATCTTGACTAATTGTCTTGGCAATGCCCAGCGAGACCATTTGTCTCTCCGCATTCCTGTTCCCCGAATGTCGAGGAACATTTCACAATTTTGTTGTCTGTTTCCCCCGTTTCCGTTTCCTCGAAAAGAAATGCATTGCGGGTAATCGGATTGACATTGGCAATTTGTTTGTTATGCCATGCCGCCTTTTGATCATCCCTAGACCAGACGCTGCTGTCGCCACCGCCTTGCGTCATCATCGTTTTCGGCCTATCGAGTTTCCCCATAGTATAAACACAATTTTGTATTCTTCTCCCGCTTTGGAATGTGTTCGTGTTGGCCTATAAATAGTTGAAATCGTTTGGAAATCCTCCGAATACACAAGAGATGTTCAGGAAATATTTTTAACATTCGAAAAGCTTTCGACGCCGGAATGTAGGAAATCTGAAACGCCCGCCCCTAGCTGGAGGCTTAAAATAGATCGGAAATGCTACGTAGATGATCGATTGAAAGCTTTTGTGGGATCAGGAAAATCTTGGGGAAACTCTATGGGTCGCTATTATGGATGTGGATCACTACCCGCCCTTGTTCTATATTTTTTCCAAATTTCTTTGTTTTTAGAAAAAATTAAATCTAAAAAATCGTTTTTATTTATAAATAATTATAAATTGTTTTAATTAATATTACAATCATGAGATTATTTTACATTTCGTAGACAATAGACCCCATCCGCTCTACTGAGGGGGGAAGATGTTAGTTCTGTACAAAATAGATGAGGTGTCGGTTCATTCGTAAAACAATCAAATGGCGATCAACATAGATGGAAACACGCGAGCGAGAAAACAATTGGATGGGGATCGGTGTTCAGGTGTATAGATTGATTGATTCATTGATTGATTGATGTTGTTCAGTCAGTACAAAAGAGTATTCTGGAACCAAGGATGACACATTGGTAACCTAATGACATTCAAAAACAAATGGGTGGGCATCTCTGATGGCGTTGGTGTTGGTGTTGGCAGCTGCGCCACACAGCCAAATGACCACAAGAAGCAGCCAATGGCTATGATGAGGCAGGCGCCGAGAGTTGAGATGTGGGGGTGGTGTGTTGGGCAACTGCTTAGAAGCACTTGCGGTGGACAATGCCGGGGCCGGACTCGTCGTATTCTTCCTTGGAGATCCACATCTGCTGGAAGGTAGACAGGGAAGCCAGGATGGAGCCACCGATCCAGACGGAGTATTTGCGCTCTGGGGGAGCAATGATCTTGATCTTGATGGTGGATGGGGCCAGGGAGGTGATCTCCTTCTGCATGCGATCGGCGATACCGGGGTACATGGTGGTGCCACCGGACATGACAATGTTGGCGTACAGATCCTTACGGATATCCACATCGCACTTCATGATCGAGTTGTAGACGGTCTCGTGGATGCCGCAGGATTCCATTCCCAAGAATGAGGGCTGGAACAGGGACTCTGGGCAGCGGAAACGCTCGTTGCCGATGGTGATCACCTGACCGTCGGGAAGCTCATAGGACTTCTCCAGGGAGGTGGAGGCGGCAGCGGTGGCCATCTCCTGCTCGAAGTCCAGGGCGACGTAGCAAAGCTTCTCCTTGATATCGCGAACGATTTCACGCTCAGCGGTGGTGGTGAAA